TCAAACTGACTTTTCAATCCAGCGCATTAACCCAGAGCACCATATCAGGACTCCGTAAGTTATTTCAATGTTTTAAAAAACTAATTTTAATCTAATAATAAAAGTATTTTATTCTAATCTATGGAGCCCTGCCGTGATGCTATAAGATAAACACTGGTCTGCTAACCTCAATGTCAGCAGTTCAAACCTACCAGCTGTTCCTTGAAAGTCCTATGCAGTGTTGCTATGAGTTGGAACTGATTCGGCAGCACTTAACAATAACTGCACCAATTCTAATCTATGTCACATTAAATGTGAAGCATATGAGAACTCTAGACTCATGGAAAGAGAAAGGCTGAGTGCTGGCATCCAGGAGGCAGGCTTGCAGAATGCATCCTTTTGTTGGGTTTTGTATACATCAAAAAGGGAATAGAAGCAAATGCTATTAACTGATGATGCATGGAGGGGATTGTAATCATTGCAGTGACACAAAATATGATAGGTTTAGTGCTAAGCCAATGTTCTCCCATGTAAACGATCACAATAAAAACTTTAAAAAAAAAAAAAAAAAAAAAAGAGGGTATGGTGCTGACAACATGCTTCCAGCTTACTACAGTCATGCACACAAGCAGGTTGTTTGCTGTTACCAGAACTTTCCATTATTTGAAACTACCCAGATTTTTTAGTAAAATATCTGTATTTTTAAAATGTCAGCAACTAAAAATAAATAAATAAATATGAATGTTCTACCAGTCCAGAATTTTGGTTCTTTGATATTTGGAAACATGTATTTTTGTTTTCTTTTAGAAATCATATGATGTATAATTATGACTTTTAAGGAAGTCCCCAAAGTGGTAGTTTTTTTCATGTTGCCGAATTTATTTCATAAATCTGAGTTGTTTTTTTCCTTGATTTTTAGTTTAAATGAAGAATGGCATGTGTAAATGACAGTTATATAGTAGTTCTTTTTACCTCTTTTTTTTTTTTTGGTTAACGTTTTTATTGTGAATTGAGTGATAGTTTACATAGGGGAACATCAGTTTTACACTCATTCTGTTGTATTTCGTTTCATTGCAATGATTATAATCCCCTGCATTCGACAGTATTTGCTTGTATTCCCTCTGATTTTGTTTTTGTTTTTGAATGCACACCAAAACACTTAGGAATATATAATCATTCAAACAACCAAAGGGCACACCCTGCAAGTCTGCCCCCCGCTGCCGGCACACAGCCTCTCTCCCTCCATGAGTCTAGACTCCTTAGCTGCTCCGTCTCTCCACGTCATCATCTCTGCCTCCATCTCTGGCGTTGCCGCTGCTTCTCTGAGTAGAGTCCCACACTCTGCTCCCACTCTTCTCTCTTGATGGTCCTAGGATCCTCTGCTCTGGGACTGTAAGATCAACCACTCATGTCTTTTTGCTACAAAACTTCTACCTTTACAGTTGCAACAGTAGCAATTAGTCATGATAACAATTACTCACTATTAAACCATAAGTGTCTTGCCCCCATCTCCTTTCACCAGACCTATCTAGAAAGGATGAAAACCACTCAGTGAGGATTCTGCGTTCCCCCGCACACTCTGAATCTAAGCTCCCTCTTGAAAACTTGTAAGCCAGTCACTTTGTGCCTTTACAGTGCCCTATTTTAGGTAGCCAATGTCTAAGTTGCCCATCCCTATCAACCCTGTGTACAGAGGGGACAGGAATGATCCTTGCTGTAAAGATTCCTTGCCTCTTGGTTGATATTTTAAGCTACTATATCTATAAGTATAGGTTAAGTGCATCAGAGTGTAGTGATTTACACTTGTTTTCTTTATCTTCCTCTATTCGGGTTCTGATCATCCAGTCATTGAAGCTAGGTCCAATGGGTACTATCTGCAAGTTTAGGCGCCCTTGTTCTCTTTCCTCTTTGATAGTTACGTTACTCTGTTATTGTCATCTTGATTGTACTAGAGACAATTAGTCATGAATTATTGTAAATCCAGCAGTAAACTTTAAAGAATCCCCTATAGTTCAACTTCTTGTTTGACAGTTTAGGAAATTGCTATAGACTTGACACAAGGAACTTAATTTTTTAAAAAATTTACATGTTGATCAGTTGCTTGGAAATAGGATTCTTAGATATTATCTGTCTAAGTCGAACTGCTTCGGGGCAATATAATTTTAGGTTCTTATTGAACTTTACTTTTTAAATATTTATTTAATGTATGAAACTTGAGAATTTGAAAAAAAATGAAAGAATGAATACCATTTATAACAGATTAAGTTACTGCTCTTGTTAATTAAGAATGATCCAAAGTAAAATAATCAAGTACAAAAAAATGTGAAGCATAATATCTTACATTTATAATTTAATAAGAGTATCAAACATTTAATCAAAATTCATTGATAAATATTGGTGATTGGAATGTGAAAGTTGGAAACAAGAAAAAGTACCAGTAAGAAGATATGACCTTGGTAGTACGTATGACACGAGAGATTGCATGATAGAATTCTCTTGCAAGACCAGTGACTTATTCATTGCAAATACCTTTTTATAACAACCAACAGTGACTGTATTTACACATAGATCACACCAGATGGAGAAGGCAAGAAACAAATCAACTACATCTGTGGAAAGAGATGATGGAAAAGCAAATATCGTCAGTCAGAAAAAAGTTTGTTTTGCCAACGGCAAAACAAACCATTGTATTCATATGTGAATTCAAGTTGAAGTTGAAGAAGATTAAAACAAGGCCACAAGAGTCACAGTACCACTTTGATTCTTCGCACCTGAATTTAGAGACCCTCTCAAGAGTAGATTTAGCATATTGAGCACTAAAAACTAAAGACCAGATGAGTTGTAGAATGATATCACAGACATCATTCTTGAAGAAAGCAAAATATCATTTAAAAGTCAGGAAAGATCAAAATGGATGTCAGAGGAGACTTTGATATTTACTGTTGAATATAAAATACCTAAAACACATGAAAAAATGATGAAGTAAAAGAGTGGAACCGATTTCAAAGGGCAGTTCAAGAAGAGCATTATAATGAAATGTACAAACACCTAGAGCTAGAAAAATAAAAGGAAAGTATATGCTCATGTTTAATGCTGAAAGACTTTTCAGTATTGAAGGATTCTATGGACTGACTGCCAGAAGAATGAGCAAATCTGTCTTTGAGGAAGTACACCCAGAATGTTCCTTAGAAGTAAGGAAGGCAAGACTTCATCTCACATACTTGGACATGTTGTCAGGAAGGACTAGTCCCTGGAGAAGGATATCATGCTTAGTAAAGTAGAAGGTCAGTGAAAAAAACCCCTCAACAAGACACAGTGGCTAGAACAATGGCTAGAACATATAGCAATCATGTGAGAATAGCGCAGGACTGGGCAGTCTTTTGTTCTGTTGTTCATAGAGTTGCCATAAATCAGAACTGATTCAATGGCACCTAGAAACAAAAACAACATGGGCAAAATACTGAACAACACAAGGAGCACCCAAAGAAGATGTAAAGAAAACAGTCATCTTTCAACTATTTCAGGAGGTGCCTTATGATCAAGAACTGATAGTGTTGAAGGAAGAAACCCAAGCTGAACTGAGGGCATTGGTAAAAAACAAGACTCCAGGAATTGGTGAAATAACAATTAAGATGTGTCAGCAAATGGAGAAAATACTGGAAGCACTCACTTGTTTATAGTAGAAAATTTAGAAGACAGCTACCTAGACAACTAACTGGAAGAACTGGTGCCTTTGAATTATGGTATAGGCAAATAGTACAGAGTATACCATGGACTGCTAGAAAAATGAACAAATCTGTTGAAAGTAGTACAGCCAGGATGCTCCTTAGTAGGGAGGGTGGTGAAACTTTGATTAACATACTTTGGACATGTTATCAGAGAGGCTTCAATTAACATTCTGGGTATGTTGTTAGGAGAGACTAGTCCCTGGAGAATGATATCATGCTAGTAAAGTAGAGGGTTGGTGGAAAAAAAGAGGAAGACCCTCAGTAAGATGGATTGACATAGTGGCTACAACAATGGATTCACACATAGCAACAATTATGAGATGGCACGGAGTGAAGCAGTGTTTAATTCCATTTGACATAGGGTCACTATAAGTTGGAACCAACTCAATGGTCCCTAACAACAGTAAGTAAATTCTATGGTTTTGTAATTGTTAGAACCCTAGAGAAGTCGTCGTATTTTTTTACTAAAGTTAAGGCCTTTTATTTTGTTTGCCGTGTGGACTAGTTTAACTGTGGATAATTTGATATACTTTTGAAACACTAATAGAGTGGCCAGTGTGACTGAAGGATATTGATCTGGGAGAACAAAATGAAGTGAGATTCAATTAGTGCTCAGAAAATAGTGCCGAAGTGGCCTAGTTGGCCTTGAATTTCATTGTGATAGCAAAGAGAAATAAATGAAGAGTTTCAAATATTATCTGTTTTGCACACTGAAAGGTCATCCTGACAGCTGTACTGACACTGGAGGGAACCATGTGAGGAAACTGTTAAACTAGTCTGGGCAAATAATGGTCTTGGTGTAGCACTGTAGGATAAGCTCTGCACTGCTAACACAAAGTTGGTAATTCAAATGCGCCAACCACTTCTTGGAAACCCTA